TCCCGAGGTTATATGTATATATAATTATAGTTGACATACAGTGTTATTCAACATCAGTTTCAGAAATACAATGCGTTGGTAAGGCCTCCACATCAACTATGAAGTGGACTCCCCAAAAGGGCATTGGTCCATCTGGCTCCCTAAGAAATGCTTACAACGTTATTGATTTAATTTTAAAAAATAAACTTAATTGGGGAACAGTGTGTTTTTTCCAGGACCGATCAGCTCCAAGTCAAGTCGTTTTCAATCTAGTGTGGGGGGCACAGCTGAGCTCCAAGTCAAGTCATCTTCAATATGGTTGTGGAGGGCACAGCTCACTGGCCCATGTGGGAATCGAACCGGCAACCTTGGTGTTAAGAGCCTGAGCTCTAACCACCTGAGCTAACCAGCCACCTCTGTATTTTTAATTTTTATTAAGATAATCACATAACATAAAATCCATCATTTTTAAACTGTACAATTGAGTGGGGTGGTTTTGGATAGTCACAATGTTGGCACCCACCGCCACTATCTAGTTCCAGAATATTTCCATTGCCCCTAAAAGAAACTTTGTACCTCCAAAATCCCTCCTCATCCCCTAGCCAAATCACTATTCTACTTCCTATCTGTATAGATTTGCCTATGCTGGACTTAACCATAAATGGAATCATAGAATATGTTATTTTTGTGTGTCTGGCATGTTTCACTTAGCATAAAGTTTTCAAGGCTCATGCATGCTGTAACATGTGTCAGTATTTCATTCCTTTTGATGACTGAATAATATCCATCATGTGGATATACCACATTTTGTTCATTCATTCATCACTTCTTTTCATTTGGGTTGTTTCCACTTTTTTCCTATAGTGAGTAATGTTGCTATGAATATTTGTGTACAAGTTTTTGTGTGAACATGTTTTCAATTCTCTTGGGTATATTCCTGGAGGAAGAACTGCTGAATCATATGGTAACTCTATACTTAACTTTTTGAGGAACTACCAAGCAGTTTTTGACAGTGGCTACACCATTTTACATCCCTTCAAGGCATCAGCATGGTACAGAAAAGATGGCTGAGAGTGTTCTCCATTCCCCAGCAATGAGGAAGCCTGATGGCCAGAAGGAACATGGGAACCATTGCACATGGCACAGAGCAGGTAAGGAAACCAAAGGGTCACCAGAGCACCACTGCTTCTAATGGAATGTGGCCCAAAGTACTTTTGGTTCCCCAGCAAGCAGGAAGGCAGATGGCCTAAAGACCACCAGAACCATAGCACATGGTTCGGTGGGTGTTCAGAGGGTCCTGCCAGGGCACCCTCATGAGGAAATGATGTAAACAAAAGGAGCCACACTTCCCCAGCATGCCAACAGTTGTGTGTCCCTAAGGATCCCAGAAATCTCAGGGGGCAGGCAGGCTAGTGACCAGGTGGTCCTCCAAGTCATCAGAACTAAAGTACTCTCAGTTCCACAGCAAAGGGGAAAACCAGAAGAACAACCAGAACCATAGCATGTCCACAGGCTGTTACATGGACGTTTTCCCCAAAGGCACCAGCGTAAGGATATGACTGTGGGCAGAAAGAACTACAGTTTTGCATCACATCGGCAGGCTTGTGAACCTAAGTATCCAAGAAAACTCAGAGGGAAGGCAGGCTAGTGACCAGGTGGGCATTCAGGACACCTGTACACTGCAGGGAAGGCTGCCAAAAATGATATCAGTTTACCCGTAAGGGGGCAGGCTGAAGGCTAGGACAATTGGAAGCATAGCACATGGACAGGCTGGTGGTTGGAAGGTTCTCCAGGGGAACGAAGATTCTGGGCAAAGGAACCACAGTTCCCCCAGAATATAGGCAGGCTTGTGGACCAAGGAATCCCAGGAGGAGGGCAGGCTAGTAACCAGATGGGCCCTCTTCCTGCCCCCCTCCATACCAAGCATCAGTGCGCTGCAGAGCAGGTGGCCAAAAGTTCCCCTGTTTCTCCAGCAAGGAAAAAGGCTAGTAAATATAAGAACTAAAGGAACCCTAGCACATTTGCAGGTACTGGTTCTCTGGAGGCATCAGTATGAGTACAGGTCGGTGGTCAAATAGGAGTCAGGTTTTCCCAGTGTAAGAGGAAGCTTGTGGGCATAGGGATCTCCACAACCTCAAGTGGTAGGTAGGCTGAGGACCAACGTTCCTACACCCCAACAGAAAATCAGCACATTGCAGGGAAGGTGACTGAAAAGTGCTCTTGGTTCCCCAGCAAGGTGGAAGGCTGATGGCCAGAAGTGTGTGGGAACCCTAGCACTAGGATGGGGCTAAAACATGGAAAGTTACACAGGTCACCATTCTCAAGGAACTATCATGGCCAAAAGGAGCCATGTTATCCTAGAACACCAGCAGGCATGTGACCTAAAGTATCCCCACAACACCACCATATAGGTAGCCTTGTGGCTAATAGGCCCACAGGGCTTCAGTGTGTTGGAGGGAAGGAGGAGGAATGCTTTACTATTTCCCCATCAAGGGGGATGACTTGAAGGACCACTGGAATCCTGGTACATGTGTATGCCGGTGCCCAGAAAGTATTACCAGTGCACCATCTCCAGGAAACTATGGTGAGCGAAAGGAGCCATTGTTTCCCAGCACAAAAGCAGGCTTAGGTTACAGAGGAGCTCAGGAAGGCCAGGAGGTGGGCAAGCTAGAGACCACATAGGACCCTGGGGTATCAGCACTCTGTAAGGGAGGTGGCCTCAAGTGCTCTCCATTCTGCAGCTAAAGGGAATGCTAATGGCTGGAAAAACAACCGAACTATAGCACTTCTTCAGGCTGGTACACAGAAGGTTCTCAAAGAGAACAAGGTGAGGATTAGGTGGTGCTCAAAAGGAGGCACACTTCTCTAGAACAGGGGCAGATTTGTGGCCCAAAAGATACCCAAAAGCACGGGGAGGGCAAATTGGTAACCAGATGGGCACATAGGGCATCACACTGCTAGGAAGGTAACCCAAAGTGATCTCCAGTCCGCAGCAAGAGGGAAGGCTGATGGCCTGAAGGACATTAGGAACTACAGCACATGGGCAGGCATGTGCCCCAATGGTTACCCCAGGGCACCATCAGGAGGAAAAAATGTAACCCAAAGAAACCACAGTTCCCCAGCAAACAGGCAGGCTTGTAGCCCAAAAGATCTCAGAAATCCCAGGGTTAGGCAGGCCAGACACCAGCTGGGCCCTTGGAGAATCAGCGTGGCATAGGGAAAGTTCACCCCTTTTTTCAGCAGGGGGAAGGAGGGTGAGCTTAAGGACCACCAGACTGCTAGCAGGAGGACAGGATGGTACTCAGATGAAACCAGCAGGGCACCAGTGTGAGGCAAAGACTCCCAAGTTTCCTCTGCAATCGTATAGGTAGACTCCTACATGAGACTTTATAGCCAACGTTGAGGCAGGATGGTGGCCAGAAGACATCCAGGACATTGAAAGGACAGATGGCATGTGGGCAAAAGATTCCATGGGTCCACACCGCAAGGGTCATACAGAAAGGACTCTGGTTTCCCTAGCTTGGAAGCCAACTAATGGTCTGGAGGAGGCCAAAATGAAGCAAGAGAACAAGCAAGTGACCCGAAGGGCTCTCAGGACTTGGTCACATAGGTGGAAAGGTGAACAAAAGTGCCCTCATTTCCCCAGCAAGCAGGAAGGCCATTGGCAGGAGGGAATACCAGATAGATGCTTTAAGTATACATACTATGTTCAATTCAACAGATGGTTATTTAGCTATCTGAATAGGATGTTTCCTGTCCTCCAAATTTCTGTATTACAAAACTTGATACAAAATATGATTTTTAAGAGTCTTTACAATTGCTAACAAATGCTTTAGAGCAGTGTTTGTCATACTTTAACATGCAACTCAATCACCTGGAGGGCTTATTAGAAATTCTGATTTAGCAGGACTGAGGCAGGGCCTCAGGTTCAACATATCTAATCAACATATCTAATCAGCTCCCAGGTGATGCCAATGATGATTGGCCACTTTTGAAGAGCAGAGATCTAGGGCTACAGATCCACTAGTCACATTTATGTAATCACACTAGTTAATGTAATAAATTTAAATAAATTTTAACATTCAGTTCCTCAGTCTCACTAACCACAGTTCAAGTGCTCAATAAGCTTATGTGGCTAGTGGTTGCCATACTGGACAACTAAGCTAGTTCTCCAAGGAAAATAAAGAACCATATATTCTTGGGTAATTCAAGGAAGTCTTTGTGAATTTTGTCTGGAGCTGGAATTATAGGTAGGATTGTGATAGGAGAAAACATCCAATGCGGAAATAAATACTAGAAAGCAACTTTGTGTATTGGAAATAAATGGGACTCTGGATTGAAAGATGCCTGACATTGAAACCTGACTTTGACATTTACAGCTATGTAACAATGGGGAGTTACTTAAACTTTCCCAGCCTTGGTTTGTTCAATGTAAAAATGTCTATGTCACAAAGTATGCATGAGATCTGTGGGTGAAAACATTTGCCGTGTCAGCCCCAGCAGGTTCCCTGACCCGGTCGCCCTGTTTTCCTTCTCACAGCTGGAGTCACTTGATCCCTACCTGGGGTTTCATCCCAGTCCTTGACTCCCAAGTTAAGGGTTATGAGTCACCTAAGCAATTCTGGACCCACATATCCTTTATTTGGAACTATTTACTGAACTTCCTATTGTACGGTGGTGAAATCCTGAAATTGATGTGGAAGACCTGGAATGCCAAGGCTGAGTGGTCATTTTTCATTGGTTAGGCAATAAGAAAAGAGAATGCTTTTTAGCATGCTAATGTGAAGCATGAGCTGTGATTTAGAAAAATTAGCAACAACAATTAGCTTAAACTAGTTGTGAGTAATATAACTCAATAGGAGGCAGGAGATGAGAATAGAGAGGTTGGTGGGCTAGATCACTGGAGAGCTTGTTACTCCTTGTTAAGGAGTTTGGACTTTATCCCATAGCCATGGGAAACAGCTGAGGATATACAATCAAGGACAGACTCATAGCCAGGACACCTGTGGGAGGAGATATTTGAAGAGAACTATCTGCAAAGAAGTAAAAGCAGTGAGAAAGAGAAGTCTCCAGTGAGAGGTGATTTCAGGTTTCAAGATTTTGAAGTAGAGACTTTCTGAGTCATGATAAGAGTTGTGTTCCTGTCCAGAAACTAAAAAAAGAATAAAAGTAATTTAAATATAAGCCTAGAGGCCCCATTATTGAGAAGGTGAGTGAAATGGGCTTATTTCATTTCAAAAGTGGTAGAGGAAGGACTCTGTCCAAGGAAATTTCTGTTAAGCTTAAAGTGCCTGAATTTCAAGCACTATAATTTCAAGTACTGGATTTTTCTGAAAAAAGATGTGGCCCATCATGATGAAAATCTTTCCTAAAATTAGTTTTCTTAGGTACAGAGAGCCACATTCCTTCAGAGGAGGGAGCTACTCAATGAATGATACTGGGGCATATTAGCATAAACGAGTTGACTTCTATTTTTGCATGGATTATCTATCACAGGGGGTAATGACAGCAAATATTTAATTTCTGTTCATCATTTCCCTGCTTTCTGAGCTGTTTGATCCCCTCCAATGCCACCCTCAAATCCCTCTCCCCCCATAACTGAGTAGTCCTCCACGTTAATATTAGCCTGAAAGAAGTGTCCCTGAGAAGAAAATAGAAAACTTTAAACAGCCTTCAATGTACTTCCAAATCAAATAAATGATTTGGGGATCAGTTTATAGTTGGAATTACCCACCTCACCTCTCTTGCACTGTTGAAAGGTAACAGGGCATTTCTGTCTGGCCATTTTAGTTTTTGTGTATGTGTGATTTTTCCCTTCTCCCTTATTTCTAGGCAGAATCATAGTATGCAGTAAAACACTACACCACTTAAAACAATGGAAAGACATACGGCAGTCCTCACTGTTAGTTTTTTGGGGGGTAATGTAAAAACAAATGACTAATATTTTAGGGATATTTATTGCCTCAGCTTTAAAATCAACAGCTACATTATTCTTCTATCTCAATTTCTAATATTTGGGGCCTATTCCAGTTTTGTATACAGAACTATTGTTTAGAATCAGGCAGAAAAAATCAGCCATTGGAGTTTGGACACCAAACTGTTGATTTGAAACTATGGTTTACATGAATTATTATTTTTTACACTATTTATTTTGACATTCAATATTATATATTAATTTCAGGTGTACAGCATAGTGGTTAGACATTTATATAATTTAAGAAGTGATCCCCCTGACTAGTACCCACCTGGCACCATATGTAGTTATTACATCACTGACTATATTCTCTATGCTGGAGTTTACATCCCCACGACTATTTTGTAACTACCAATTTGTTGAAAATTTCCTTGGCCATTTAAAAATTCAACACTTTACTTTCAGCTTTTATACTTTCAAAGTTTATTTCCAGCCTCTCTCAAAGCCCTCAACTGTTTATCACTTTCTCTGCATTATTAAGGCCAGATATACACTTCCATGAATATTGTTGTATTTCCTACAGCACGCTAAGGCTCCCAATTTACTTGTGTTCAGCTGCACAAGAAAAAATTTAAAAGCAACTTTTCTTCCCCGAGTTTCCCACACAGAAGTCACTGCTCTGTGGAGATTACCATCTGTAAGCTAATTCTGTAGTCGTTAATGGCAAGAATCAGAGCAATTGGCATGTGTTTTAAAACAGGGTTTAAGGTTTAAGATGATCTCTCCCACTCATTTGTGAGAGCTGTGTGACATAGCAGTGTGTTCTCTCTAGGGGTTCCAGCAAAGTCTTTTACTTCAATTGCTTTAACTAGCTTTTGGAGCATTTTTAAAGCGTACAGATTAACTCCCAAACACAAAGCAAATCTGTGCTACTTGATTTGTTGCAAAACCATAACACGTTTTCTGTTGATTTCCAGCCTGGCCACAAACAGTCTTCAGGCTGTCCCTCATCCTTAGGCTCCAAAAATATCGAATGGAAAAGAAGCAAGTGTACAATTCAGTGATACATCATCTATATGTTGCATTATGTGTTGTACACTTGAAACCTATGTAGTTTTGTTGACCATTGTCACCCAATAAATTTTAATTTAAAAATAAACAAATTATTGAATTGAATTGAACTCTTGCTAAAAAGAGAGAGAGAGAGAGAGAGAGAGAGAGAGAGAGAGAGAAAGAAAAGAAGCTGCAATGCCTGTCTTTTTAACAAACCCTGATTCCAAGTGCCCATGGGAGGAATGACAAGGAAGAGGGTTCACATTTCTAGAATAATAGGATTCTAGAAAAGGGACAGATGTTCTCAAACAATCTTATACCAACTTTGCAATAATCTGTTAACAAATATTTTTCATAGCCTACAAAAGATCCTGAAACACTTCTACTCTTAATAGTGTCTCGAGACAAGCATGACAAACGACTGTGAAAAGCCAAGAACTAAAATATTATCTAATGTCAGAGGTTTTAATTTCTTTAATTAAAAGTTTACCTTTCTGTAACCTAAATTCCTTAGGATTTTTTTTCTAATTTTTGTTTCAAGCCCTGGAGAATCTGTGCTAGTTTGTTTAGTTCTTCTGCAAAGGGGAAAAAAAACTTGCTAACATTGGATAAATTAGGAATAACACCAGAAACAAAACAGTTTATTTTATTTTCTCAGTGTTTCTTCCCCTTTTTAAGCAGGTTGCAGAAACCTTAGCCAGGAGTGCTCCCATGAAGACATATCAAGATTTTACATGTCAAGATTTCAAGGAACAGAACAAATACCTAAAGCTGAAAATATCACGCAGAAAGAATAGGGTAAGTTCCAACAGAGCTTTGTCTTGTTGAGCCCTACATTTGGCAATTGTTAATTTGCTATTAATACGTCTTACTGTTAGGGGGAGTCACTTCACCAGCCGTAGGAAGTTTGTTCTTTAGACAACCATTGCTTTAAGCGGTCTATCAAATTAATTCAAACATTCAAGGTAAGAAAGAGATGTAATTAAATCTTTTCAATAGACTGGCTGGCTAAGCACTTATCTGCTGCCACTGATAGATACAATTTGGGAGTCGCTGCAATTTTTTTGCCCTCTCCCTTAATACATTTTTTAAATGATCTTTTGTGCTTTAAATGCCTATCAACCCATAGTAGAATTGGCGTTATTTGGTAATGTTAAATCATTTCTCAGTTAGGTGAATAAATGCCAGAAGTTTTCATTTCATAAAGAAAATTCACCTCAACAAACTACCTGGATAGTTTTCCTGACGCTAACAGTGTGTGACATACATGACAGGCATACTATCATGCATTGGTATATATTATTGCCTTACATTTGGGGTTGACATACAATGGAAATGACAACGATTAGATTGTCTGTCAAAGGAAGTAATTATAGATTGTTTCCTCCTGACTTTTTGCGCAGGCATTGAAAATTAAGTGGAAATAGAAACCTCAGTTCAGAGTGGGGATGGGGGAGAGCACAGAAAAAGAACAGTGTTACAGGCAGGGAACTCAGGCAGTATTAGACGGATTCAGCGCTCTGTCTCTAGCTGAGTTTGAATCCCCTACCTGCTGTGACCTCTAGAGCTCACCTGTATGTAAATGTCATCTCCACTCACTTGCTCCCTTGTTTCTCTTTCTCTCATCACACCCTTAGTTCCCTTCAGTTCTGTCATAGATCCTTGACCTTCCTATCTCAGGGAGGACAGAATAAATTCCAGGAGTCTGTGTCATACTGTAAATGTGTGAGAAAGGCTGGACTGAGCACAAGTAAAGGTCACCTTGAGGCCTGCTGTGCTTGATCCATGCCCTTTTGTGAACAGTAATAGTAAATATATCAACCCTTAGCCTTGAGGTAGCTCTAAATAACAGATTCGTGGAGAAATCCAATGGGAAAACAGTGCTTTCATCATAAAGGGGTTTTCAGGCCCTGTGCTACTAAAATCAGCTATTTTGCCTTGAGAAAAATGGCTTTTTCAGTTATGTACAAAAGTTGTTCTACCATGAATGGAAAGTGTCTTGAAATGCCAGCAGTGCCCCCATATGAAGGATTCTCCATGCTCAATTCTGCTGATTATCCTGCTGAGTTGCAGAGCCTCTGTGCTTCTAAAACATATTCTGAGATTGCCACTGAAATGAAATATTTGTCACTGAGAGCTATCAATGGTACTGTAAAGACTTACTCCAATGTACAGTGCAAGGGAAACATTGGCTTTTGAAACTAGAATATATTGAGTGGTTACAGTGGTGTGCATTTGGGGCATACCAGAGACACTAAAAACATTTATCAAGCTGCATGAGTGTCTTCCAATCTGGTTGAGAAGGCACAATATATACAAATGGAAAACCAGCAAAGATTTACAAAGCAACAAATACAATAACATGTGCTATAACTATGTGTCAGTCAGCTAGTACTACTAACAATCACAGAATCTCAGTAGTTTACAATAAGAGTTGATTTCTCTGTGATTCAGCTGTAGTTTGGCTGATATAGGCTGAGCCCAGCTGGGATTGGCTCCAGGCCATGGGTTGGATTCAGAGCTGGTGCTCTTGTCTGTCATGTTTTTACCAGGAAGCTATATGAGTGTGTTCCTCTGAAGGTGACAGAGGTCAAAAGCTCCCAAAGAGAGCAAAACAAGCAATGCCTCTTAAGGCAGTCTTGAAGTAGCATGGTCAGATGTGCCAATGTAACATTGGCTAGAGCAAATCACATGGCTAAGTCCTATATCAATGAGTCATGGAAGTGTGCTCCTCCTGTAAGGTAGGGAAAGGAGGGACTGAATAATTACTGAAAAAATACCCTAATCGACCACAATTGTATTGATTTTTCAATGCAGAAGTAACATGGAATACTAGAGGAACGTGCTTGATAGATGGGTTAGAGCAGGAGTTTTGAGTGCTCTAGGAACTGCAGATTCGTTCTTGGCAGTTATGGTTATAATCTATGACTCGGGGCCTATCTATAGACTGTCTATAAAATTTTTCATAGTTTGTTCAGCCAAGAAGATAAGTTAGGGTTTTTTCTTCTTCAATGAAAAGGGGGAAGATACAATACGTTCTCTAAACCAGAATATATTAGAAAAGAAAACCTGTTCTTCCACTATAAAATTAATGTTTAGGTATTTTTTCAGTGGTATTTTTATGGAGAAGTTTGCTGATAGTTTAAACTGTTTATGAACCCTCCTCTAGTAGACCTTGCTCATGGTTGCAACTAGGCTCCAAATTGCACTCCCTAGATTAAAATTTGCGTTCTGCTTACACCCACTCTGGCCCTGTAAGCCAGTCCTCCATGAAATTTATTTTCCCTTCATACAGTCTGAATAACATATCCATGGATGGTTATGTAGGGAAATATTTCTCTGATATTATCACATGTTTAGCTTGTCTTCATCTACCCCTTTCAGGAATGTGTGCTTTATTAGTTTCCAGCATATAGTTTAGAATTGAGTATGTGTGTAAGAAGGAGGAAGAGGATGTGCACAAAAGCTTTCACTCTTCCCTTTAAATAGCCGTAAAAAGAGTAATTCATCTGGATGACAATTAGAATTCATTAATAAGAGGAGAAGGTCCAAATATGTGAAATTTTAAGAAATTCCAACCATATCTGTAATTAGCTATATGACTTTGGGAAAGACACATTCTCCAGGGTACAGTTTTTCCCTGTAAAAAAAAAAAGAATTGGATTAGGTGGACTTTAGAATTTTAGTGCTGGCTCTTTCAAGTTCAAACTGTAATGTTTTAAATTCTAGGATCAAGTTAACATACAATAAATATAGGGAACACAGAATCCAAGTTGACTTAGGGAGGAAAAAAAATGAACATAATCAGGATTCTGCCATTGAGGACAGAAGCACAATTCACAGAATGAGGGAGTTCAATATCAGAGTCAAACATACAGGACCACAGTTTCACAGTGAGCTACTTGGCCCACGCTGGCATCTGGCCTGAGCGTCCGTGGTCTGATACTGAAGATTGAAGTTGCGCCTAGAAGAGCATTAGCTTCAGCACCATGGGCAGAAGATACTGAACAATAGGGCTTTGTAGATGATAAAGTTATTCACCTCACAAATTGGTAGTTCAGAGATGATGCTTTAAGTCTCTGGCTGTACATATCAGACAATTTTCCTTTTTATCTGTTAGAAAAGCTTTTTCTTCCTTGTTGTAAGATTTGGCAGGATTCTATCTTTGAGTCTCCCCGGAGTTATGATTTCTTAAAGAAAGAAGACAGTTCCACTGAATCCTTGAAGTGAGTTGGAAAATATTTCCCATTGGGAACCCCTTACTATGACATTCAATATAAACCAGCTGCATGGGCTCCTTTAATAATTATAATGATTCCATTTTTTTAAAGAAAGTCATAAGAATACTCTGCAATTCAGTATGCCACTGTTTTCCTGCAGGAAAACCCAAGTTATATGATATATGGAATGGTATAGATTTTGCAAACTACATGATGTTCATGAGTCACTACTAATTTTGATATTAAAGAGATATAGTGATCATGTTCAAGGTCATTTGTAGGACTTTTATCCAGAGATGTGAGGAAGCAGCACATCAAATTCTAGGACTCTTTATGCAGTGATAGGAGAGAAACAATGACCAAAGACTTATGAAACATAAGTAGATTCCTCTGAATGTAATATTCTCTTTCTCTCTCTCTCTCTCTCTCTCTCTCTCTCTCTCTCTCTCTCTCTCTCTCTCTCTCTCTCTGTCTCATTTTATTGGAAACATGTCTTTAAGACATCCTGTGTGTTAAGGTCAGCAATGATTAATTTAGAAACTGTGAATGTTAATTGAAGGAATGCTTTCAGAAGAAACCTTTTAAACATTTGGCTCATGCTGGTTAATTAGAAGGGCAAAAATTACTTCATTGTGTAAATTAGGGAGAGTTTCTTTTTCCCAGTAATGTGAATACATACCTGTTTGGGTTTGAAAAGAGAATAAGTCATTAGGCAAGTGAAATAGGTAAGGTGACATTGACTTTGGGGGTTTAAATTATTTCCAATATTAGGCTTTATGGAGCTAACCTGGTCCTCATCCAACAGAGAGACAAGAGCCAAAATTATAAAGCTATAAAATGGGTGAAACTATATACCATGGCTTTGTATTTTGAGGTAAATGCAAACCTAATAATAAAAATGTTCTAGGATTTCTCCTGCCATAACTTTTTATCTAACTAATCAGTGATATAATCTATAGAACACCACAATTGATCAAATCTTGGCAGTGTCAATTACTCGGATGAAGGTGTTTCTTTATTTAGTGTTGGTTTGACCAAGCCTATAATTTAAGAGTTTTTCATAACTGACCTTGCTTCCCTTTCAAATAGCCTAAAATGGAAGACATTTATGAATAACAAAGATTTTGAATAAAGTCTTCAAGCCTTCTCCAAATCTTTGTCATGAGGTACAGGCAACCTAAATAACCAAAGGGAAATTATATCAAGTTGAGAATTCTGCAACATGTTAAATTATTATACTGTGTGTGCATGCAAAATGAGATACACTCACATAGGATTTGTTACACTCACATGGGAAACCCCTGGGGCCATTCCTAGGAACACTCATAGCACATCACATTCAGTGTATTCCCTGCTCACCACCCATCCCACAAAGGTAAAATCTGTTAAAATTAGCACTGAGAACAACAGTGACAGAGAGAAGACTAAGGGAGGTCATGGTTATAGTGCTAGGGTAATGGGGTTCATGATGTGGTTATGAATTATTTATATTCTATTACACTAATGTTTTCTTCTTTTCATCTGTACACCCTTTTATCTGAGTCATTGGGACACTTTGAATGTCTGATTTCCAAAGGA